CTTATGTGTGTTGATCTGTACTGATTAAATAAAGTTTTCTATATAAATTCATATTTTATCCCTACAATGAATTTACTTTTAATGTCGTGACAAAGTTACTTCCGTTTTGTTTTAAGTTACTTTTATAATATATATAAATTACTTTTAGACTTTATTAAATTTACTTTTATATGTCTCAGAAGTAATTTAGTCAAATCTAAAAGTAACTTATATATATATATATGATAAAAGTAACTTACGTATATAATAAAAGTAATTTACAAACATAAATATTTTTTCATCGTAATATAATCATGTAAGATATTGTTGTGAAGATTTAATTGTAACAAACACAATGATGTAATTGGATTGTAGATCGGATAAGTAATTTGAGAGAAAACTTTATTTAAAGAGAAAAAAGGCATACATGTCTTATCTCAGTCCTTCCTGTTATATGGGTATGTCAGCCTCTCTGCAGTCAAGTACTAGTGGAGAAAGCGATAACGTAAGCCGAAAATGAATAGATAACGAGATCGGACGGTCGAAGGTGCATCGCGCGTTTAGACTAAAACGAGAACGCGAACTGTTTAGATTTTATATTTAAAAAATAGTACATAAAAAAGTCAAAACGACTTATAATACGAAACGGAGGAAGTAGTTGATTCTTCATCTCCTAACTCCATTAGAATTCGCTCTCTTTCTTAATTAATCCACTGTCGACAGAGCTTAGGTCGTCCCTGGCTATCAACCCGTGCCACACTCGCCGACAATAGAGACGGGCCGCCAGGGTGTCAGTGGCTGCCAACGATGGGTCATCACTGTCCTCTCCGCCGTGGTGCATCAGTGCTCTTCATCTCTTCTGCTCCACTGGAACACCATTGTTCCCTCGGAGAAAGAAGGGGAGGGGGAAGAGAAGATGTGAGAAGAATCATGGTTGTTGATACGTGGGCTCCGGTAGTTTTTTTCCTTACACATGGGTCAAAAGAGACTTCTTTTTTTTTTCGATATAGCTGCCAGGTATCTATTATCTATTATCTTAATAAAGTAATAGAAAAAGAAGCCTTCACATTCGCTCCATGGCCTAGAAATTCCCACATTAATCGGAGAAAAAAAAACAGAGTTCATATAGGAATACAATATACAAATAGCTGAAATTCGGAATTAAAAATAAGGAATATTGAAAGAGTAGACTAGAGTTCATAAAGAAATACAATTAAGAAATAATAAAAATTCAGAATTAAAAATAAGGAATATTAGAAGTAGAGTATAGAGTCCATATAGAAATACAATTAAGACATAATAGAAATTCAGAATTAAAAAATATATATCTATTATCTTATTAAAGTAATAGAAAAATGAAGTAGCCTCCACGTTCGCTCTCACGGCCTAGAAATTCCCACATTAATCGGAGAAAAAGAAAAATAGAGTCCGTATAGGAATACAATATAAAAAATAGCTGCAATTCGGAATTAAAAATAAGGAATATTGAAAGAGTATACTAGAGTCCATAAAGAAATACAATTAAGAAATAATTGATATTCAGAATTAAAAAATAAGGAATATTAGAAGTAGAGTATAGAGTCCATATAGAAATACAATTAAGAAATAATAGAAATTTGGAGTTAAAAATAAGGAATATTAGAAGTAGAGTATAGAGTCCATATAGAAATACAATTAAGAAATAATAGAAATTCGGAATTAAAAAATAAGGAATATTAGAAGTAGAGTATAAAGTCCATATAGGAATTTGAAACTAACTAAAATTCGGAATAAACATAATAAAATTAAAAGTAGAGTTTAGAGTTCGTATAAAAATATAATTTACAGATAACTAAAATTCGAAATTAAAAAAATATGGGAAGAAGAGTCTAAAGTCAATATAGGAATACAATTTAGAAGTAACTAAAATTTAAAATTAAAAATTAAAGAATATTGAAAGAGGAGTTTAGAGTCCACATAGAAATACAATTAGAAATAATATAAATTCGAAATTAAAAATAAATAATATTGGAAGAAGAGTCTAGAGTCTATATAGAAATACAATTTACAGATAACAAAAATTCAGAATTAAAAAAAGAAATATTGAAAGACGAGTCTAGAGTCCATATAGGAATATAATTTACAAATACCTAAAATTTGATATTAAAATAATTAACAACTAACACGTATATAAAATACTGTCGGAGAATGAACTCCTCCACCAGGGAACCGTGAGGCCCCCCTTTGTGAGTTCGGCCGGGGGCAGCGGGTGAGATTCGAGGGCTTGGTGAGCGGAGCTGTGTGATCTTGAGGGGGTTAGGCCCCTCCAAAACGATGAGATAAAAAAGGTTTATACAGGTTCGAGCCGCTGAGAAGCGTAATACCCTACTCCTGTGCATGATTGATTGAATGTAGAACACAAGTGCTTGGGGTTGCGAGACCCAAGTGCCCGTTCGCTCGGAAGTCCCCCTCCCCCTCCCTCTCCACCACTAGGCCTGGACCTCCTTTTATACCTCAAGGGGTTACCACATGGGCCCAACAACCTAACCTATCTCCGGTGGAGAAGTATTATAATCTTTGCATTAAATGCATGTCTTGTCTCTTGACTTGGGAACCCAAACACACGTCGTTTTGATGATGGGGCCTGTCAAATCTTGCCGCCTGACACGGGGGGTGCCCCTGTCAGTCACCATTTAATGGGTGAAGACTTCTGGGCTCATATTACACCGGGAAACGGGAACCTTGCTTTGACCAGAGTGGGAGGACCGACTCCGGTTGGGATAAGAGGATGAGAACCTCTCACCATCATTATTTGATGGGATATGTCGGGCTGCACGTCGCCTGACACACGCGATGGTGCGCCTGACATCTTGGGTCCCATCAGTCATTCGACCGGTCACAGACCGGTTGAGTGCACTGCACACCACATTAAATGCGGCGTGGCGCCACCGCTCGGGACGCCATAAATGTGGGTAGGTGGGCACCCGGAGGCGGACATCTAACCCACCGTACGTGGTGACCTAGAGAGGGGGTCAGGGGAGCCCGACCCCTAGTCACGGGAGGGGGCGGTCGTTGCCCGACCTCGGGCCCGATCCCCCCTCGGGGGGAGCCACGTGGCGCCTGGGGCGGCCTTCTCCCTCTAGTCTCGGCCAAGGAGTGGCCGCCGCCCTACCTCGGGCCTGACCCGTCGGGGGAGGGCCACGTGATATTGGAGAGCAGCCTCCTCCATCCAGTCTCTGGGAAGGAGTGGTCGCCACCCTACCTCGAGCCTGACTCCCCTCGGGGGAGGGCCACGTGGCATCGAGGGCAGCCTCCTCCGACTAGTCTTTGGGGAAGGAGGTGGCCGCCGCCCTACCTCGGGGCTGACTCCCCTCGGGGGAGGGCCACGTGGCATCGGGGGGCGGCCTCCTCCCTTTAAATCTGATACCCCCGGGCCCATATCGCCGACAAATATAATATGAATATTACACATTAGTAGTTTCGTAAAATTAGTATAAAATTTAAAATTATATTGTCATTTTAATATATTTGAACAATACATTGAGAAAACATATATGCTATTATATGAAAAAAAATACAATGATGCTAGCCGCGTAATCTGCGCGGGCCACCATGCTAGTCAGTAGATATTATATCAGCATATATGGACTTCTAAATCAACATGCCAGTCAGTTAAACCACCATCAAAACAGCAAAACAGGTCACGCACGAGGGCAGCCGCACTGATGGGCGATAGACCAGCTGCACCAGCAGCATACATGGGCCTGAACGGGACTTCTATGGACATGGACCGGAAGTCCGGAACGGGATTATGCGGCCCAGTTTTTCCTAGATTGGGCAGATTTGGGCTTGGAGGCCAGAAAGGCTAGGATGGTGGTGCGCCTCTTGTGGGCTTCGTTGCTGCAGTCAGTGCCTCACTGGTGTTCGCTTTCAGTTATTTCTGTACGGATGGAGTGAATTTCCCAGTCGCGTTTCTGTTTTTTTTCCTCCCTGCTGTTCCAGTCCTTCATTATTCGGGTTCGGGACACTGATGTTGTTGAATGGTGTTGGTTTTTTATATTTGTTCCTTCGTTTTCCTTCACCCTGAGAACTAAAATTCTATCTCTCACGGATTATTTTTGACGAGGCTTTTTACGGTCCGACAAAGATGACTATCTTTTGTAACAGGCCACTCGCCTCTATCACGGATAGCCCGATAGGGATGCCTGGTTCTGTACTATTGAGTTGTCCTAGACCATAAAAGGAAAATGAATACCACAAGTAACAAAGTTTATCCAGAAGAAAATCTAAAGTACAGGTTAGAAATTTAATTCTCTAAATAAAAGAAACTAAACCCGAAGAAAAACTTCAAAATCAGACCTCGCAAAAAAAAAAAAGCAGATCAAACCCGTTGTGTCCTATAGGCTATAGCTAGCTAGTGCTAAATCGGGCCATCAGTACGGTCGATTGGCGAGAGGCCAGACAAATGACAATATGGCGGGTACACTAAATTAACCCAGACATTAGTACGGCGTTAATTAACCATGAACCCTAATTAATCCACCCAACGCGATTCTTGCCAAATGATGTGGCCATGCAAACGCATGTACGGCCGGCCCCCAACACGGCAAAACCCCATGTGCCCACGTCGCTGGCTCTCTCGTGGCCTCGTGTGTCTCTCAATACTCTCATCCCGTTTCATTATCCCACCAGAATTCTTCCGCGATCACTTGTTAATTCGCCATTTGGGAGCACTCATTCCACAACAACACATTAACTATCTGCCCATGCAATTATCTGCGCAGGGTCGTCTAAGCTAGCTAGCTAACCTCTCAAGTCTCAATTAGCTACCAACCTAGCTAAGAACATGCCGGTGATAGCAATGTCCTATACTGCAAACGAGTTGCTGAATCCTGTACATTAATTTAGATTCTGATCAACAAATTTTTCTTGGCAATGAGGATTTTGTTTTTCCATGGCTTTGACATGGAGCTAGCTAGCTCTGCATGAGTACATTTTGCATGTGGGAGCTGAGCTAGCAACTGAGATGCCGCCGTGCAATTAATCATCGACCAAACCAATCAACTCCCCTGTATTCCCTGCCAACGACCATCATTCCCTCTGCCTCCCCTGCAGCTTATCCCCGTCTTATATAACCCGTACTTGCATGTTTCCTCTTCACAATCTTCCATTGGTCCATCAAAAATTCAAAACCTTAGCTAGCTAGCTCAATCCCCTTTGTCTCTACTCTTGTCAAGTTCTTGACAGACACTAGCAGCAAAACCGCAGACCGGCGATGATGGTGATCAGGTTCTTCGCCGTCCTGGCGGCGGCGCTGTGCATCACGTCGGCCTCGGCTGCGGCGGCGGGCGGCTGGGTGAGCGGGACGGCGACGTTCTACGGCGGGAAGGACGCGTCGGGGACGATGGGCGGGGCGTGCGGGTACGGGAACCTGTACACGCAGGGGTACGGCGTGTACAACGCGGCGCTGAGCACGGCGCTGTTCAACGGCGGCGCGTCGTGCGGGCAGTGCTACCTCATCATGTGCGACGCCTCCAAGACCCCCGAGTGGTGCAAGGCCGGCACCGCCGTCACCATCACCGCCACCAACCTCTGCCCCCCCAACTGGGCCCTCGCCAACGACGACGGCGGCTGGTGCAACCCGCCCCGCCCCCACTTCGACATGTCCCAGCCCGCCTGGGAGACCATCGGCATCTACCGCGCCGGCATCGTCCCCGTCCTCTACCAACAGTAAGACACACCATAATATACCTTCTACGGTGCTCTCTACTGGTAGTATTAGACATCAGATTTAACTTTTCGGTTTGACCGATTGTATCGGAGGCCACCAATAGAGTGAAATTCACGAAAAATTAAAAATTCCGGCTAAAATAATATTGTATCGAAGGGATCCGGAATTTCTGAAATCTCAAAAATTTCAGTCTGAATTTTCCAACCCGTTAACGATGATGACTAAGGTCAAAATGTTATTATTACTAGGGTGAAGTGCTGGAGGCAGGGAGGGGTGAGGTTCACAGTCTCCGGGTTCAACTACTTCGAGCTGGTGCTCATCACCAACGTCGCCGGCAGCGGGTCGGTGCAGGCGATGTCGGTGAAGGGGAGCAAGACGGGGTGGATACCGCTGGCGAGGAACTGGGGCGCGAACTGGCAGTGCAACTCGGCGCTCGTCGGGCAGGCGCTGTCGTTCCGGGTCACCTCCACCGGCGGCCAGACGCTGCAGATCAACAGCGTCGTGCCGGAGTGGTGGGAGTTCGGGACGACCTTCACCAGCAACCAGCAGTTCGACTACTGATTAATTTGATTGTTGGTTAATTAATTAGCAGCGAAAATTGTGTATTAGTAAGGAACACGCATGTGCCTGCATGCTGCCGCCTGGCTCTGGTAAATTTATAATCCTTCGGTTGACTTGATGGTTGTGTGTGTAATGTGGGCTGATCTGGATTTTGATCTGTAATTGGGATTTTCAGATATGTTTTTCTTGTTTGTTTTTGCTGGTTTATGTTATTATGTACTACATGTACATCAATTGTCAACTGAGTTAATATGATTGGCATATGTGTGTTGAATTGATTCACCATCCTAGTAGATCTCTCTCTCTAGAAACATTGTGTATAGCCATCAATTTGGAGCAAACAGTTTCTTACATGAACTGAATACTTGATAATTCCTAACAAAATTTATGACATTTTCAGAAATATACAGATGATAAACTACTACCTAAAAACGTGGTTTTCCCTACAAGCGAAATACTACATAATATTCGAGTACTAGAAGCAGTGATCGGTCGATGCAACAGGATATACACACACAAGCAAACAGCCATGAGGTCAAGTATTCACGCACATGTTGCCAACTGACGGTTCTTGACTTCTTGTTCAATCAGTTACCAAGTTCCAACGTAACTTAAATCTGATTAAATTCATGAAGTGAATTTTCAATATAACCTAGTTAAATTTAGTGGTAGGGTTAAACTAAATTGATTATTGTAGTACTTCGAAACAAAAATCAGATGCATTCATGTTTAAGTAAATTTCATAAAAACTAGTTTTGGGGCAAGCGTAATGTAAAATCTCAGGTATTGCAATTTGTTTCAAGAAACCACATGTTTGAACTCATGTTGAAAATATGGCTAACTGTAACTATCCCATACTATTTTTTACATTTATTATATATGTATAAATGCATTAGCCAAGTAGACAATATAAGTAGCTTGAATTTGGGGTTTCTTGAAACATTTCTTTCCTAAATATAAGGTTCCTTGAAATAAATTATAATACTTGATGTTTCGTGTTACTTATATCCTAAAACCTAAGGTTTCGTGAAATTTACTCTAATGTTTTGTGTGTTGGGCATGCTATTCACTCGTTGTCCGGCCTGTGGTGACAGCTAAGCTAGATTCGGCTAGAATTCGTCTGTCGGAGAAACGGTGGGATTTAAATGGGGGTGTGGTGGTTCAATCCATACTTAACTGATTATTTTAAGAAAAAAAATCAAACTATTTAAAATTTCTTCTTCAGTAGAAACATAATCCTAAGTTTTTTATAGCTAGAAAATTGAAGACATACGTCTGGAGAGCGTATACAGCATACTTGCCTCGTTAATAACATTTCATTAACTCATCTAATAAAAAATTACATGCATAGGCAATGGAATTAATAATAATTAACAAAATTAAGGAACAAATTAAGCATGACGCTAACAGAGCAATTAATTAAGAACACCAACGAGCCGAAATCGTAGGCATCTTACGTCGCGCGCACCTCCGGGCTCCGGCATGCCAAGGATGTCATGGCGGCGGCGTGCATGCAGCTCCGTCAAAACCACGAGCACGCACGCACGCACGCACTCACCGTCGTCGTCCGGCCATGTTCCGGCCGTCCGTACGTCGCCGTGTATCAGTAGTCGAACTGCTTGGAGGTGGAGAACGTCTGGCCGAACTTCCACCCCGCCGGCGCGACGTCCTGGAACAGTATGTACTGGCCGCCGGTGGTGGTGACGCCGAAGCTGAGCGGCTGGCCGGCGAGCCCGGCGAGCGACTGCCAATTGGCCCCCCAGTTGCGCGACATCTGGAGCCACCCGGTGCCGGCGCCCCTGACCGACACGGCGGCGACGGAGCCGCTGCCGGCGACGTTGGCGACGAGCACGAGCTCGAAGTGGTCGAAGCCGCCGACGGTGAAGCGGACGCCGCCGCGGCGCCAGCACCGGACGCGGCGGTAGAGCACCGGCACGATCCCGGCGCGGTAGACGCCGATCCGCTCCCACGCCGGCTGCGACATGTCGAAGTGCCGCCGCGGCGGGTTGCACCACCCGCCGCCGTCGCTGGGGAGGGCCCAGTTGGGCGGGCACAGGTTGGTGGCCGTCACGGTCACCGCGCCCCGCGGCTTGCACCACCGCCCGGCCTTGTCGGTGTCGCACACGATGAGGTAGCACTGCCCGCACGCCGCGCCGTCGTTGAACAGCGCCGTGCTCAGCGCCGCGTTCTCGAGGCCGTACCCTTGGTCGTACAGGTTCCCATACCCACACGCACCGCCTGCTCATGCATACCCATCGTGTTAGTTTATTTTTTTAAGGAAATTGTTATGCATACGACTTAACTGCTCAAAGTACGACTGAATTTAATCAATGGTTGTAAATAGCTACAATATATATAAACATGTTTCCCTTTAATTGATATATGGTTGTATACTTGTATATCTCTAGTTGTACAGCTTGATAGTACATTTAGCAGTACTTTTTTTTATTAGTGTTGAAATTCATTTTTACTGATTGTTAAAATCATTTTTACTGATAATAATAACAGAATGTTATCAGCGAGACTATTTTTTTTTCATGAATGTGCAAAAGCCTTACACGTCAATATATTATAACAAGAGTAACGTATATCGGTACAAACCAAAATAGTTACTGGGGGGTATGGGGTACAATATGACACTGAATAGCTTGCTAAACGAGTACAACTCCTACGAAAAAAAGTGAGAAAAACGAAACTAGACGTACTCATAATCTTTATGTGGGATATACGGTTCGCGCGGAGAACGAAAATGTTGGCTTACCCATGGTGCCGGAGCCGTCGTTTCCGCCGTAGAACGTGGCGGTGGCCGGAATCCAATCATCGGCGGCGGCGAGCGCCATGCGCGCCGCGAGGATGGTGCACAGAACCAGGAGGTTCTCAGCCATGGCGCCCATGGCGACGTTCAAACAACAGATCAGGCTGGAAGAGATCGACCTGAATAACTACAAGTTCTTGAATATTTTGATGTTGTTACTGAGTGCTAATGCGTGTTATCAATTGAGTGCTTATATAGAGGCAGGAAAGAGTGGGAGCTAACTGGATTAGCAGTTGATTAATTAACTAAACTAATTAATTACAGATTAGGCTATCATGATCGACGCTAAGGACAGGTTGTTTGGTGGAAATTAAGCTAGAGGGGAATGATGGTCTTGTCCTGTGTCAGAACACTCAATCCGTGTTCGATCGAAAGCACATGCAGATCGGTTAATTAATCACTAGTTAATTCAGTGATTAATTAAGCTAAGCTCCGAGGCATCTGACTTTGGAGAGGAGTGGAGAAATGTTCTGTTCCCTCGTTGGATCAGAGTAGGCTTCATGCCGGTGCTAACGTGCCAGTTGTAACGCCATGCTGGTTGTGGACTTGGAATTTGGTAGGAGAATTATATTTGGTGAGGCTGTGTGCCAATTTTCATCAGCGATCTCAACCGATTCTACCAACCAGGGTTTTACATTTCAGAATAAAAATGGGTTTAATTATAATTAGAGGGGCTGAAATTTCAGAATTTTCGAACAGAATTTTGAAATTTGAACAGATTTCACTTGATTTGATTTTTTTTGCTAAATTCAAATTAATTTTAAAAAAATTCAGTAACCCAAGATTTTTGAAATTTACGTGTGAGATTGTGAATCATGCTAGTACCAAGTACCAACCAGTGGAGTTTTCTCTCTCTTTCAAGTATTGTTTGTTTTAGTACTGATTATATCCGGAGAGAGTACATTACTAATTTAATATAAGTACAGACTACAGTGCTCTCAAATAATGTGGCAATGTGCGCCGATATCTTTAAACAAAGTGGTGTTTTTTTTATACTAATATTTTCTCTCTTTTCTTCTAGATAGTCTATATTCACGCATGAGATAACGCGCGATTAGTGTGAAATGAGATAGCAGGTTGAATCGCAAGCACATGATTGGACAACCCGGCATTGACTTACGCATTAGCTACGTAGGAGTACAATCAATCAGTGATTTATGTGTGTGTGTGTGTGTCTAATTGTTCTTTCTTTCTTCCATCCAAAAATGATTAACCAACCACTGGTGCCCCTCTGAAGAAGTCCAATACTTATCCTAGATTACTCACATGTACCAGTAATTAATCTAGCTGGTACTCGCAAACTAGCTGGACTTGTACAACCTGTGTCCTTTTCAAGATCAAAATGCCACGTTTTTTTTAATAATAAAAGGCAGAGTTTGATTTGTTATTTATTTCAAGTAGAAGAGGAGCAGAGTACATCCGACCACAAAGAGAAAAATATCACTTTACCTCAACTATACTACTGCTGAAATGCCATAATCTGAAGTGTTGAAGTGATTTTACATATCCTATAAAAAAACTGATTTTGCATATATATCTCGGTTTATCCTTCAAGAACCATAAAATTATCTCTACGTGTTAACCTTATAGCCAGGTAACACGGAAATGAAAGACACAAACAGGTGTTGAAGACAAGGATGAAACAAATTACACTGATCATTGAACAAATTTCGGTCATCAATTCCATACTGCGGCGCGGTACAGATCAAGTAAGAGCAAGTTTAATAGTATAGCCCACTACTAGCTCCAAATCATATATAGCTAATGTAATAGCTAATTTATACAATAGTTCCTTACTATACTATTATAACTAGCATGGTGGCCCGCGCAGATTGCGCGGCTAGCATTATTATATTTTCTCTTATATAATAGCATGTTTTCTCATTATACTATTCAAATATATTAAAATGACATCATAATTTTAAATTTTGCAATAACTATACGAAACTACAAATGTGTAATATTTATATTATATTTTATATACGTGTTAGTTATTAATTATTTTTAATATAAAATTTTAGTTATTTGTAAATTATATATATTCCTATATGTACTCTAGACTCGTCTTTTAATTTTTTTTAATTCCAAATTTTTTATATATTGTATTTCTATATAGACTCTAGGCTCTTCTTTCAATATTATTTATTTTTTATTTCTGAATTTTTATTATTTCTAATTGTATTTCTATGTGGACTCTAAACTCATCTCTCATATATTCTTTAATTTTTAATTTTGAATTTCAGTTACTTCTAAATTGTATTCCTATATTGACTTTAAACTCTTCTTCCCATGTTTTTCTTAATTTCGAATTTTAGTTATTTGTAAATTGTATTTTTATACGGACTTAAAACTCTACTTTTAATTTTATTATGTTTATTCCGAATTTTAATTAGTTTTAAATTCCTATATGGACTCTATACTCTACTTCTAATATATTTATAACTGACTTATAGCATGTTATTGTACCTGCTCTAACTATAGAATATTAAATTTTCGTCCATATTACAGGATGGAAGAAATTAGAGATTACAAAATTTTAGTCTAGGAGTAGTATGCATTGTATATACGTGCATATGCATTACAGAGGAGTCGAGGATCAATCATGGCCCAAATTCATCTGTTAAACCTCTCGTCCAGGTAACCAAACCAACCAACTAACTCGTCTGTTAAACAAACTAGCTAACTAACTAACGACTAGCTAACTGGTAATATATATCAGCAATTCAGCATAGAACATGGGTGCAAACGGGCAACGGCTAACATAATTTAGCAAGGAATAATCTTAATTTTAATCCCCAGTATCAATCATCCATCAGAGCGAGCAAGTCAAAATATCCGGAGTTACATGTGCTAGTTTGAGGCGCGTATATATGTATATACGTCCATACCCCATTTGGCTTTTTCTTTTTTTGGAATTCCCACAAGGATATCATATGTATGTTTAGAGGTAATCTTGTTTAGTGGCCCAATTAACGAGATCTTGTTTACGGTGTCCTGAGAATTATTCTGCTCTACACATGTTGCGGACTGAGTTATTTTTAGGTGATGTATATATTGCTGATCTAACACTTTTTTCACACATATCTTTGGGTGATACTCCCTCCGTATTTTTTTATTTGACGTTTGGGACAGCATCGACAGAATTAAGGAACCCATAAATTGACCATTTTGCCCTTACCCCTTCAACCAATGGTTGGCTGGCTGACAGCACTTTTCATGTGGCAAGGAAGTAAATTTCCGTACGGTATGGAGGAGAGCTGAACTGCGAGCGTCAAATAAAAAAAAACGTTTCTAAATTGAGCTAGAGCGTCAAATAAAAAAAAAAGGGAGTATATATTGCATGGATGTACCAATTAAAATTGACTGAAAAGTGTGATACTTACTAGGAATAAGTCCATTTTACCTCCCTCATCTCTTGCGCTTGCATGAATAATATCCCTCAACCGGAAAACCGGGTATAATGCCTCCTCCTTCTCTGAAAACCAGAGCAAATCACCTCCCTCGGCGGTTTCGGAGGCGGTTTTGTCCTACGTGACACTTACGTGACGGTGGACCCTCCGTTGACTAGCTGAGTCAGCTTATGGACCCCACCTGTCAGCGACCCCCCATCCCATCTTCTTCCTCACGCGGACGACACCAGCGGCACGCCGACACGAGGCTGCTTCATCCCGAAACAGAGAGAGGAGTTGGACCTCAGCACGTCGCGTTTCGTCGTCCGCCGCACCGGCACCGTCCCCTCCGGGCACGACTCATCATCGTCCGTCCACGTCATCGGGAACACAACCTTCTCCTCCGCCGCCTCCCCATGCGCCGCTGCCACGGCACCGACCTTGGGCCTCTCCTCTGGCTCCGGCTCAACCTGCACGCGCACACAGTCACAAACACGATCAAGAAACGTCGCGGGAGATAGAAACGATCACTGCAAATCGAAACAAAAATGAATGAGCTTCGGGTGGTCGAACGCCGGTTGTAGGTGCAGCGGCACGCAGTCGATGACATCACCGTCGGGGCTCTGAATGCAGCCATGCACCACATGACAGCCAACCACCTCGATTCTTTCTTCCTCCTCTCGACAGCAAGAGGACAAGCAGCTAGCTACTCCTAGCTAGCAAAGCTAGCAGCTGATGGAGTGAGTGAGAGAAAAGAAGAAAAAGAATTACCTAGACAGAAGCTTTCTTCAACCTCAGTAGCATCGCAGGAAGAAGCCAGCAGTAGCATCGCAACGCTCCAGGGCGGCGCCGCTCGCGGTGACGGATGGCTCTCTCTCTCCCTCTCTCCCCGGTCTTCCTTTCTTCTCCGCCCGGGAACAGCGAAGGAGCACGGGACGGCGACCGGTGGTGGACGGCGGTGGTGGCGGGACAGAGCTCGGCAAGGATCTCTAGGACGGCGGCTCGGCAAGGGATCTCTAGGATGGCGGCACCGGCGGTGACGGGGATGACTCTCTCTCTCCCCTTCTCCACGTCCTGCGTGCTCTCGCTACTTCGGTACGGCGGCAACCGGTGCTCCGACGTCGTCTGCCACCGCCGGCCGCTGCGCGCCTTTGGTTCTCCACCTTTGTATTAGGAGCAGATATTCCGCCGCCGCCGCCGCCGCTGCTCCGGCGAAGGTGAAGAGAGAGGCCGAGGGTGAGAGATAAGGGAGAGAGAGAGAAGGAAGAAGGGAAAGAGAGTTTGCACTGACATGTGGGTCCCACCACGCTGAGTCAGCTCATCAACTGGGTCAATGACGCCACATCGGACGAAACTGCCATCCAAACCACCGAGGGAGGTGATCTGCTCTGGTTTTTAGAGAAGAAAAAGGCGTTATACCCGGTTTTCCAGTTGAGGTATGTTATTCACACAAGCGCAAGAGATAAGGGAGACAAAATGGACTTATTCCTACTTACTATACCTACTTAAGGATGGTAATATACCTACTTAAGGATGGTAAAATTGCTGTATGGTTTTACTTATGAAGATGGGTGAAATTAAGCCCATTTTCTTTAGATACAAAATTATACAGGCCATAAGCAGGAAAGCCCATTGGGCTATACCCTAAGGTCCCTAACCAAGGAATGGGCCTAATTAACTGGGCTTTATTTTCTTTTTCAGCTCGTCTTGAATTTGTTGTACTATAAATTTGTTTGATTCCGTAATAAGAGGGAGATCGATATGTTGCTAATCGGAAGCCGGCCACAAGGTTAATTAAGAGTGTGGAGATAATGCATTCAGGGCTTCATCAGGTCACCAGAGTTCAACTCCTAAAATCAGTGTTTCTGTAATTGTGTTAGCTTGTGGCATATGTATCATGTGTGTTAGCACTGAATGCACATGAATGTGCTTCGAGTTCGCACCCTGATTACGTACGTGTTCCATCACACATGAGGATTAATCGCCGGCGTTATCCGTCTAATCGTCTTCAGGTCGATCGTCAGTAATCAGCTTCTGTTCCATCCGATTCCCGCGTTCCAATCCAATCCATGGCTATCTAAGCACCAGCAATTTTGGCCTTGTCATCATATCAGCGAATCAACAACACATTTCGACCGATCTTCTTCCTCTGTTTCTTTCTTGCTGCAAGGTTAAGTTGCAGTGGACATGGGCATGACAAGGTCGCTCGCTCGCTGGTTCTTTGCATTGCGGTGGTGGCGCGCGGCAGCGTGCGCGCGTGACCGGCGTGGCGGCGAACTGGTCGGCGACGGCGACGTTCTACGGCGGGAGCGACGTTTCTACCAGCGCGCGTGTGCGTTGCGTGTCAGGGTCGTTGGCTTCAACGACTTCGTGTCAGAGACGAACAGACGAGTCAGATTAAATCTAAAAAAAATGGCACCGTTCATTCATTAATTATATTAGTCGTTAATTAATATCGTTATTATACATGTACTTTGCAGTTACATTAAGAATTAGATTAGGATTGGATCAATATTCCATCGGTGACTTCGACTTGGAGTACCATACGGATTTCAACTTTACATTTGCACCCATTTATACCCTCATCCTCCACGTAAGATTTTTCTCCCGTAAGGCCGTAACAACCTGTCCTGTGCAGACGCAAGTACTTTTCTTGGCGTCGTCGCCCTTATCCTCCACGGGAGATTTTTCCCCCGTAAGGCCTACTTTTGTTGGCAAAAAGCAGCGCCGCCGCGTCGTCGCAGCCGCCACCGCCGCTGTCCCCCGTGGAGCAGATCGATCTACTGGCCGCGTTTGGAGTGATGGCTGCAGACTCGGTTCCATCGACATCATCGACTAATGCTGCTGATCCGTCGTATGTCACGTCGTCACGAAGAACCACAGCTGCTACTGGGCAGATTAATTTGTTGCTGAATCTTGAAATTATGGCTACTACTACTGCCGCCACACCTCTATCCACAATGAATGCCGTCGCTGCTCTGACGTCTATCACGCCGCGGTCGTCGGATAGACCCACGACTTCCCAGTCGTCCAATCATAGGGTGGTGGATATCAACTATCATCAGGACCAGCAGAACCGCGGTGGCGGTGACTCCAGCGAGCACCTTCGTCTCGGCGGGGGAGGTCGCCGTGGTGGCCGCCCTATGCCGGGACGCGGCTATGGCAGCGGACACCGTGGTGGTTATGGCTTCCATAGGCATCGTCGCGACGGTTGGAGAGGCCACCATGGTGGGCATGGACCGGAGCACATCATCAGTTTCCTCCCGCCGCCACCACATTATCCTCCTTTCCCCGCCGCCGTCATTTCTCACGTCGCCGTATTTCGGCGCGTTCCATGAACCAGCTATCGGATACGCACCCCACAGCGAACACTATGGATCAATGATCGGCCATGCACACCCAAGTATGTGAGATAAGAAGAAATAGATCATTGATCCTTAAGACAGGTGACTGAGACACTTACATGTGAGACCACTCTACTATAGAATCACATGTAAGTGACTCAAAAGTCATGTGACCTAATGATAAAGGAATCCATTTCGGTTAGATACACTATAAGTTAAGTTTGGTGAATTATTTTCTTAAAAATTATATTGATTTTCAGTTATCCATAACCTATGTGAGACACACCATAAGTTTGGTGCATTCTTTCCTTCTTTTTTTTATACTGACTTTCTCTGTGATATGCAGGATAAGTTGGGTGCATTCTTTTATTTATTTATACTGACTTTTGTTGTCATATGCAGGATAAGTTTAGTGTATTCTTTATTTTTTTTTATTTATACTGACTTTCTTTGTGATATGCAGGATTTGCCTTTCCACTCCCACAACAAAAACATAATGCCTCTCATACCGTTTTCGGTGCCTCCACATATGGAGCAACCGGAAGCACCATTGACCGCAGAAGAGCGTGAAAAGAAAATACGTGAACAAATTGAGTATTACTTTAGGTTCTTACTGTAACTCATTCAATTTTTAACTTACAGTGTAATAGTTTTTTTTAGTCCGGATTCTTAATCTATATATTCTCTCTTATTTTCCAGTGAAAACAATTTATGTTCCGACGTGTATTTGAAGGGGTGGATGAACCAACAAGGTTGGGTTCCGTTGACATTGGTTGCTGGTTTCCCTAGAGTAAGTTCTACTATAAAAGATTATATAAATGCAGAGATGTAAATGGCAGCACATTTGAAGTATTGTTGGTGTTCATTTAAAGGCATACTAATATATCATACTAAGCTGAGTTCCTAACTTACAATGATATTTTAAAAATGGTTAAGCAAAGTCTTATCAAGTAGCTCAGTTCTTCTAGTTTGTTTATCTTTTATTCGAATTAGCTATTTCAATTTTTTCAGGTTCAGGCTCGAATTAGCTACAAATATTGTTTCAATTTTTTCAGGTCCAGGCTCTAACTACCGATTACGAGACCGTACAGAGGTCTGTGCTATCGTCGACTGAAGTAGAATTGCAGGTAACCACTTTCTGCATTCAGATGAAGCCTCATGTTTGTTTACTTAATATTCTTCTAAACAGTAGCAACCCTATTACACAAGACCGTTTCGCTACTCATTTCTTGACCAGGATGATTCAGATTATCTTCATCGATATTTCAGATGTTTCAGTGTTTACCTATACTTGTTACTAATTAACATATATTCTTGGTTTTTTACTAATATAGACTTAATTCGTACACTTTAACAGGACAGTAAAATAAGAAGACGCATGGGGTGGGAGAAATACATTCTCCCTATAAGTTTCACCCATGAGGGTTGATTAATTGCAAAAGTAAAGCTCTACGAGAGCGGATAATTGTCACGGGTTGATTAATTGCAAAAGTAAAGCTCTACGAGATAGGATGATCGTCACCATGTTTTTTGGTTGTGGCGCGTCTATTATCCAAGTTTCCTTTTTTTTTTTGTATGTTATGTCGCGGGTTCCAAGATCTAGAGGACAACCCTACATTCGTAGTCCTGTCCGCTATGTCCCTCTACTGAATATAATTCATTTGTGTTAAACTGAATATTCTATATTGCCGTGTTCACAAAAGAAAATAAAGTACTATTCAGCTCTCACTTCAATTAGTAGCATCTGCTAATAAATTGGCATATGCCCTGAATGAATTCTTAATAATGCTGCAATGTATGCTACTGAGTGTTGTCTGTCTGAATCTAAATAACCTGACTGAATTCTGAATGTTCTAGCATGCATGCTGCTGAACTGAGTGAGTGCTCTCTGTTTGTCTGAATATGTTCTCTGCAGCAATGTTAATGTGCAATGAGGTTCAGACAGGTCAGCTGGGCTGTTTGGTGATCCGTCTTTCTGTTGTCTACTGACAATCAGACATGACCAGGAAGTAGTTAGTTTGAGGCTTAGAGATGAAGCTAAATGATATATAATATATGCTGTGAAGTGCAGAGAACTAGGATGTTTATATATGACTGTAGCACCTAACTGTCAAATTAAGATGACAGTGCAGGCAAAGCAAAATGCAAGGGAATCATTGTACAAAACCATTGATATGATTTTATTATAGTCATAATGGATTATGTGCTATAATTTGAAATTTTCAGTTGTAACCATTTTGCATATATTTATAATTTATTTGTGTGCAAACACTTACCATAAGTGGATTATGAGTGGACTGTAAGGTAAAACACTTTCAGTCATATTCCCTTATGTATAGGACAAACATATCGCTTTCTAATGAGTTGGGTATATACGGTTGCATGTCGAGTTAGTGAGCCGAATTAATAAAAAGGAGTGTGATCAGTGTACTGGTTGGCCCCAATTTATTTCCATTATGGAATTTACGCTACTAGTATGACAAACTGAGATGAATTGACTACTGTTCAGTTCCTTTTCCCTGTCTCCATTTTTAGGCTTTGTTTTGAAAACAGAGATTTCTCAGGCAGTCCTGAACTCACTCAGATCACTCAAAAACTGAAAAAATTCAAGGCGGTTCATTGTTTCCAAAGGGCAAAGGTACAGGGGCAATATAACAGAGGTGTAAACCAAGCTATTCAGCAATGTACAGTACCATCAAAGTTCGTTCATTGCTTCATCACATTCATCCAACCAAAATTAATTTAGGAACCTACTTGCAGCTGCATTAATTCTATCTGAGCATATATTGATATGGCCAGAGTGAATTTGCAAGGACCTAAAACTATATCTTTACTTTGAACTTTGAATTCTGCCATGCCGTTTTGCTCTACCACCAGGACAGGTAGAGATTGGCCATTTCATCTCATAAGCTGGAAGCAGAAAGGGAGAAAACAACAAAGTTTTTTTTCCTTTTTTTTTAAAAAAAAGAGCAAATTGCTCATGCAGGCAACAGCTAGGATGGATTCTGATTAACCAAGCTAGAAACCGGCGACGAAGAGGGAGGAGAACCAGATGACGAGGTCGTCGCCGAGCTGGAGCTCGTCGAGCCCGGCCACGGCGGCGGCCACCACGGCGCCGCCGACGTGGAGGCGGCAGAGCGGGCACGTCCGCCGCCGGCAGTAGAGCGCCAGCCACCGGTCGACGCAGTCCCGGTGGAACGCGTGCCCGCACGGCAGCCGCCGCACCTCCTCCCCGTCCCTGAACCCCGATATGCACACGCAGCACCCCGCCGCCGCCGCCTGCCCGCCGCCGACGCCGTCGCCGTCCCGCCAGCACCGGCACTGCCCTCCGTCGTCGTCGCCGTCACCTTCCGCCGCCGCCTTCTTCCCGGACAGCGCCGACGACAGGAGCGCCATGACATGGCTCACCACCACCACCATCGTCTCGATCGATCAAACGCGACGCGATCGATACTCGAGAGTAGCCAAGATTAAATTTGCGATGGCTTATAAAGAGAGCGATCGACTAATCAAGTTTGGGATCATCTGGGAAAAATTAAGGTGATGGAGACAGGGATTGGTTGCACCTAATTAAAACTCCCAAGAGTACATCGAGCTATCACACTCCCTTAGATACAAAGGACTGGCCTCCTCCAAACAGTTTAGATTTTCACCTAGATTTAAAGAAGTTGTAGTCATAGAATTCAGAGAATATACTAGAAACTAGATTATCCAGATTCTTACCAGTTAGTTTCTCACCAGTTGTTTCTCAGAATTTTAAGCTCCCTAAACGGAACCAAAGCTTCTGACTTCTCACCGGTTGCTTTTTAGAATTTTAAACTCACCAAAGCTTCTGGCTCACCGGCGTAGCTGAGCTGATCAGCTCGAGTGATGAGTGATCGATCTCGTCAGTGTACGTGACCTACCTGACACGAGGCGTGAGGTCGAAACATCCGCATGGTCATCAGATGAGCAACAGTGTCGCAGCTCGCGAGGTGGAGTGGTCATTCTCGGCCGTCCGATTGAAAATCCAGTTTATCTGTGGGCTACTGTAGCGGTTGATCCGAGCCGTCCTTTCAACCACCTAGGCTAGTAGCTAGTACGTACAGACCAACAGTGGATCATTCCTAGGCTATCAGTGTACCAGCTCAGTTTGGTGCTTTGGAGTTTGGACTGTTGTTAACGAAGCTGGATAAATTTTCTCAAAAAGAGAAGGTATTGTATAGGACTCAAAAGAATTCATGTGTTCCAAACCAGGCTCAATTTATGAGATTGCATTTTGCCATTTTGAACTGAAAGGCAGAGACAGAGATAGAGCAGAGGCCAAGCACCTTCCAATAATTTTTTTATGTAGGGTCATATAATTAATTAGGTATTTAAGCTAAGTAATGGTGTATTAGGTCCCCTCTAAACCTCTCGGGGCCCCTTTTTCTAAACACTGGCAGATTGCGCTTATCTTTCCAATTGATATAAAAATAAAAACTTGTAATTGTTGTAACCTGTTTAATGCACATATTAATTTCAAGGGGTGGACCAAATGTGGTAATCGAACTATCGTGTCTCTCTCTGTCTCTCAAGTGTTCCATATTTTCATAATGCAATAATATTATCAAATTCGCAGTATAGATTAAAGAAAATCTTAGTTTGCCAAATGCCCCAAAACAATTTAAAGCCTAGAACTACTTTCAGTACATCACATGAGGTATTGCATGTTGTTGATCGATCGTGTGCACAGCCTTGTCGGTCGCAGCCATACAAGCAGATCTGCAGATGTGCCTGTCATTTGAGCTATTCTGCCTGGTGCCTGCTTGTTGCTTCATCAGCACAAAAGCCGGTGACCTTTTTCTCATTGCATAAAAGCAACTTCAGTAACCTGCAAGGAACCAAAGGAATAATAAGTGAGTAAGCCAGTGATCACTGCTAGTTAGGTACACTGACTGGAGCTATTCTTCCCCTGCAGAACAGAGGTGAAGGTGATCCGTCACTAATCATAGCTCTCCTTGGCATGTCAAATCTCTCTAAATATATAGTTTTTTTTCTTAAAGTTCTCAACTTAACCAATCCATTTGATGTGCCTGTAGGGTGTACAATTTAGTGTGATCATATAGAGTACAGCTTATTTTCATTTCAGTGCATATGTAGAGAATTAGGCATGTACTTGTTGGCCACTGCATAACTGAAGTTACATGTTTTTTCATTCAGTAATCAATTGCTTAGTGCATATGCAAAGCATTAATCATGTAACAGTTGTTGGGCACTGCTGCATAACTGAAAATACATGTACATGATGTGTCCCTTGCCGCAAGAACTGTCCTGACTGACCCATACGAGATTTCTTTCGTGTTTTCTGGTGACAGCTTTAAATTGGCAGGTGCTCCAGCTTTCGCTGTTCTCTTTTGGCTCTTTGCATTGCTTTATAAGGTAGCAGTAGGCTAGTAGCTTTTGCTGTTCATTCTTTTTCTTAATCATTTTAGGTCACTTTCTTTATCTCGTTAGAATATTAATATCCATGCAAGTTAGAGCTAACGCTATTCTTCTGTTAGTTTGGGAACAAGGATCATATGTATATAATGTTAAGTGATTAGTTCTCTCCAAAAACCAGTAGAAGTAGAGTACTAATATAAACGTAGAAATAGAGCAACTTGGGATCATTTATTCTCGATTATCATGCACAATGCAACAATTAATTACTCCAGCCAAAAAAATTAAGTTTATCACAGGATCGTACTGGGATAATAACTACTCACTCCGTCCCTAAATACAAGGGATTTTAGTTGGATGTGACGTATTCTAGTACAACGAAACAGGACAGGCTTCATATCCAGATTCATTATACTAGGATGTCACATCCAATCAAAATCCCTTATATTTAGAGATGGAGGGAGTAACAAGTGATCGGCGTTTGGGAGAGCATCCTGATCAATATGAAACAGAGAGAGAGTTGGTTCTAAATACCAAGCGACAGAGTGAAAAATCAAACACCACTGAATCATGAGTAGCCATGTAAGTATTTCTTTGTCCTGATGAACAAATTGGTCAGTGCCCATCAGCAGGGGAATGCTTTATTGAAGCAACAAGCAATTAGAAGAGCACGCAGGTTGTGGTTTATCTCAAAAGTTTTATTCTTACCAACTATTACCACAACAGAAATGCAGATATTTGAGCCATTGTTCAATGCCTGTGGGAAGAATCCTTTGCACCGCAATCTTCTGATTTGTCCTGGTCGTGGTCCAGCAACTTACCATCTTTTGGGACAAGATAAGGAATCCCATCGACTATCTGGAGCAGACATAAGCACAAAAAGTAAGATGAATAGAATCACTATGACAGTAGCAGGTCCTCACAAGAAACCTTGCCAAAAAGTAGATAATTCAGTGGGCAATAGGAGTGCTGCCAAACTCCCCATTAAACCACCCAAGATTCAATGAATTCCTGCTAGAAGAAACAGCACACTTAAATCCTACGATTCCACATGTTAAAGTTCTCGTCCTTTTTCTTTTGGCACGGTTCAAGCTTTCATTTGTTCCTCCAAAAACTGTGTTTCACATATTTATAGATCAGAATGCAGATAACATATCAACCCATATCTTATCAACGCCATGTCCTACTGCGGCCATCACTGTAATTCTCTTCTGTGACCAATGGTTGATCTCTGTGCTAAGAAAAAGAGAGATATATAGTAATACAATCAGGTGAGGTGAGGCGTGAGCCCACCCCCCCCCCCACCCCCAAAAAAAAAATCCCTAAAAAACACCCTACAGTAGTTCATCTCACATAGAACACATGCATGTCTTAATTGACAATGGGCACTAATATTTGGCGCTCAAACCATGATAACACAACTAAAGGCCAAATCACGAAACCGCCAAAAAAAACCCTTACCAAATTTTGGCATTTGCCAAAATTTTGGCAACTATATCAAAATTTTGGCAGGATTTCTTATATAGTTACCAAAATTTGACAGCAAATTAAATGTAGCCACTTTTTTGGCAACTTTACTAAAATTTGATAAGGTTGAAAATGGCACCAAAGTGAATAGGCCCTAAGTTGCATGGTTGGCTAGCTCTAGAACATCTCCGAGTAACACGTAGCCCCTGGTCCTGCCAAATCCCACTCTAGGACACACACCGCATCCAAAACATCCTAATGTGCCATCCCGCATGGTTCACCATCTATATTACTCAGATTAAACAAACCTCGATAACTGCAGGGCATAGCCCCCACGATGTGTCACTAGGCACCACCTGAATTCAATCGGCAGAGCTGGGTGTTCCTTTCCGCATTGCAGCTTTTTACTAGGGAATGGAATTCCATCCCCCATTTCTTGGATATTTGTTTGGCTCAAGGCACAGGCAATACAACAAACAGGTGGCCGGCAGTCCAAATGCAAAAGCCAGTAGCTCAGAGGGAGGAGCCGCGGGGACTCACCGGGAAGGACACGCCGACGGCGTCGCTGACCAGAGACCCGCTGTCTTCGCAGTACCTGCAGGTAGCAAGTAGAAACCGCACTTGTAAGCGAGACGAAACTGAGGACTCCGCCGCCCGCACAGCGCGCCGCGGCGGCGAGAGAGGAGGCACAGCTTCCCTTGGCTGCTTGACCGCCTCGCCTACCTGAGAGGCTTCTTGGAGAGTGGGCAGACGAGCGCGTCGGCGAGCGCCTGCGGGATGCCTCCCCCGCTGCCTCCGCCGCCGCCGCCGATTCCGCTGTGGCGCAGCAGCGACGCCGCCGTCCGCCGCATCGTCGCTCGCCGTGCAATGGTCACGGCCCGGTGGCCGCTGCCGCCCAAAGCGCGTGATTGCCGAAGTGCCGGCCCACATAGGCCCAAAACGCTCTCGTAGGCTAGTAGATTGCGGAAGTGACGGCCCACATTGGCCCGCTTCTTTGGACATGTAGCGTTCAGCCCAAATCATCATCCATTGAACTGATTTCCTAGAATATTTTATCAAAATGAAAAATTCGTAATGTGTTTCTTTTATATCATTTTTATAGCATAAAATTCAACGTTTTATTAATCCATAAAATTTCTAAGTTCGTCAAGTTTTGTGAAGTAACCCCAAATACCTCAAAACCAGAAGTTCAAAGGAATTGTTTTCCCCGAACATTGGAGTCGTGTTTGGTTGGTATGAAGATGTGTGATAAGGGCAAGTTTGGTTTGAAAATCAGATGAAGCTCAAAGATGCAGAAGGTAGTACTGAAACTTAATTATGGGGTTTTGGATATATGACCAAGAGAAAGATAATGGTCTGTGTGCTAACTTGTGAATTTCACCTTGCATGTATTCAGAAACTTTTCTGTCTTGCAAGAAAAAGAGAGATAAATCTACAAGTCATGATCAATTTTGATCAAAAATTTCTCTCCAACCTATTCCCCTTCATGCAATCTGTTCGATTTCATCTCAATTATTTGTACCCCCAAACAAACTAGCTGCCAAACGAACCACCACTGTTTGCTGAAAACTTGTGCAGACAAGACAAGGTCGACATGGCCAGCAGCAGAAGCTCTCTGGTGGTCGCAATGGCGGTGGTGATCCTGCACCGGTGGTGCTGCGCCGCTGCTCCGGCGGCCGCGGCGGCGAACCGGACACGGACGCCGGCGCTGTTCGTGTTCGGGGACTCCATCGTGGACGCCGGCAACAACAACGCCATCACGACGCTGATCCGGTGCAACTTTGCGCCCTACGGCAAGGACTTCCCCGGCCACAACGCCACCGGCCGGTTCAGCAACGGCAAGGTCCCCGGCGACATCCTCGGTACGGCCTCTGCTCGTCCATGGTGCTGCATGGCGACCAGAGTGACACTAAGGACCTATTTAGTACAGCTGTATCTCCAAGCTCTACTTTTTTTAGAGTTGGAGCCTGACCAGGGAGTGAAGCTGGTTGGAATGTTCTCATAAAATGAATTAGATATGTAGAGTTAGGTTTAGACAGCTCCACAACTTCACTTTAAACCTAACTTATCGAGTTGAATTTAAGAGTTGAAACCCTATCAAACGGACCCTAAACTTTCATTTGGAGAGGTTTAAAATTCTGAGAATCAGCCGATTGGTAACCAACTTCCAAGAATTTAAAGCAGCTGAGGAATCCAATTTCTAGCTTCTAGTTTATCTTTTAAATTTTATAACTATATATTCTGCATATTCTCAAAATCTGGATGAGAAACTGTAATAAAACTGTTTAGGGGAGCTAGAGCTTCTGAAAGCTCCCTACACAGCGCATATGAACATGCAAGCCTGAAGCTGTTTGGTATCTTCAGCGACGCAGATGGGCATCAAACAGTACTTGCCGGCGTACCTCGGCGCGGAGCTCAGCGACTTCGACCTCCTCACCGGCGTCACCTTCGCCTCCGGCGGCTGCGGCTTCGACCCGCTCACCGCCGAGCTCGTGGTAAGCACTCACCGGCGACCACACATTGCCAAGAAGGCAAGAACCATATCGACCATGAACTCTGACAGCTTCTTGTTTTCAGTCGGTTCTGACCATGGACAACCAGCTGGACCTGTTCAAGGAGTACAAGGAGAAGCTCCGGCGCGTCGCCGGCGACGCGCGCGCCGGCGAGATCGTGTCGGAGAGCCTGTACATGGTGGTCACCGGCACCGACGACCTCGCCAACACCTACTTCACCACGCCGTTCCGGCGAGACTACGACCTCGACTCCTACATCGATTTCGTCGTCCGGTGCGCCTCGGGCTTCGTCCGGAAGCTGCTCGGCATGGGCGCGCGGCGCGTGAACGTCGCCGGCGCGCCGCCGATCGGGTGCGTGCCGTCGCAGCGGACCAACGCCGGCGGGCTCGACCGGGACTGCGTTGCGCTGTACAACCAGGCCGCCGTCGTGTACAACGCCCGGCTCGAGAAGGAGATCGAGCGGCTAAACGTCACGGCGGCGCCGCCGGGCACCGTGCTCAAGTACATCGACCTCTACACGCCGCTGCTCGACATGATCCAGCGCCCCGCCGCCTACGGTATATATAAACCACACACACGGACACACCTCAGAGTTCCGTAATTCGGTTCAAAAATTGCGAAAAATTTCAATTTTTTTTGGTAAATTCAATAAAATTTATTTAAATTTGACCAAAACTTGTTCAAATTTCAAATAACTTAAATTTCAGAACTTATTTTTTTTTGTTTGCATTATGCAATGTATTGAACCCTGCTCATACCACCACGTGCACACGCATAATCCTGTCCAAAAACATCACCGTTTTTTTTTTCTTGTTGCAAAAGACTAACGCTTTCTTTTATTCATAGGAAAAAATTGAGGAAAAACATAGGAACAATAATCCTATGGGATTTGGTACTATTCATCCTTTTGATTTGTAGGAATTAAATATAGGAAAAGCATGGAAAAATTTCCTATGACCACGATTTCAAAGGAATTCCATAGGAAAATTACATCTACATTGAGCTCATTTTTCTTTTCCTATGTGTAGGATCAAGGCAAAACACTATTGGAAGATAAGGTTTACCCCAGTAAAACCATTCAAATTTTGATTGCTATTAACTTAGTACTCAATTTTTCCTTTGTATCAATCAAACGATCATTCCGATAATTTTTTTATATTTTTCAATTCTCTGTTTTACCTATGATTTCCTATGCTATTCCTAAGTTTTTTCTATTCCTACGTTTTTTCAATTCTGTGATTTAAAGGGGCCCTAAATTTTTGCGAATCGGATGATCAAACTCTGTTCTTGTGATAGGATTCGAGGTGACGAACCGAGGTTGCTGCGGGACGGGGGTGTTCGAGGTGACGCTGACGTGCAACAGGTACACGGCGGATGTGTGCAGAGACGTCGACAAATTCCTCTTCTGGGACACCTACCATCTCACGGAGAGAGGCTACAACATCCTGCTCTCCCAGATAATAACCAAATACGGCTTCTGAACTTCTTAATTCTGATATAGCAGAATCTTCAGAGAAGAAAACGAGGAAACTTTGATTTCGTAGTATCATCTTTCATCAGTGCTTCAGCAGCAGCTACAGCATTCCAAACTTCAGTGCTGAAATATGTGGTACTAATACTGAAGATCTGATGGGCATGATCCTGGAAAGGTTCATTCCATAAGCTGCAGTGTGGCAGCTTAGGTTTCAGTTTGCCAGTTAAGTATCTTGCTGTGATGCTGAACCCTACACTGAGAAATGGTGACCAGAATTTTCATGTCAAAAATATGTGGAAAATACAGTTTCATCTTTCATGTAAAGGACAAACATTCAGCCTAACAAGCAGCATCAAGAGTGGGCATCACAGAACCTCGTAATCTGTTCGGCAAAACAATATGAAGCTCCTCAGGTTCACTATATCACAGAACAAACTTTGGCCTCCTGAAGTGCTGATTGGTAGAACATAGGCAAAAAATAAACATCATTTCTGCAAGCAAATTATTAGCTATAAATAGTTTACCAGTACATTTACTATATACAGACCAGGGAATAAACCAAACTAGATTCTTCTTACTATATAACATGCTAATGACTAGTCTAAAACGTTCTTCAAAAAAATACTAGTCTAAAACTGCCTAACCAAACAAAACTCATGCTAGGGAATTGACATAGATAATCATGTACATTATGAGATGGAAGCAATAACATATTGCTGGTTGTGCCTAAAGGTCATTGCAGCTTCAAAGAAGCTTATTCTGTGCCACCGCTTCGCAAAGCTCCTCCTCATACAGTAAAACTCTAGTCGAGGATGCAGCTTTGGACACAGGCCTTGGCAATCCTGGTGGCATTGAACGGCGCAGACGTTTTGAAGGAAATGTGTCTGGGAAAAGAACAGCAGTGATTGGCTTGAAATCAAGCAGCTCAAGGCGCGCAAGCCGAGGAGCATGTTTTGGAGCCTTTGGGGTTCTTGGGGTAGAAATCCGCACATCCTTGCCATCAATCCTGCTGAAAAGAAAGTGGTTGTTACAACATTTTAGAATTAGTGCAACACGGTGTTATTAGGAGAGCAAATGTGATGTGACTAAAAGTAACCTCATGAAAGGCCAATGTTCTGTTGGAAGAGGAGTGGTGTGCTGGAGTAGTTCCTGTCTGCTTCGATCTGGGGTAGTGTAGTTAAAATGGTACTGCCTCGCCAATTCAACCTAGTTGACAAATCCCAGAAAACATGAGTTTGGGATAGGGGGAAACGGTATATGAAACATGGAGAATGCAAGCTAATTCGGTAAAAGATGTTTGAGCAAATAAATGCAAAATAACTCAACAAATAGAATGTTGAGAATGCAAAAAAAATGAAGCAATGGGCCAGTGTAGATGATTCAGAAGTGCTCTATACAGACATTTTGAAGTATTAATATGAATTGAAATTAGTTCACTTAGGTTTACACAATTTAACAATGAATGGACAAGCAACTTTAGCCAAGAGCCGATCTCAGTTAAACAGGTGAAATGGGTGATGAGCATTCTTCAGCAATATATAGAAAAGTAAGAGCCAATGTCACTAATATCTAGTAAAGCATCATCTACAGGTGCCTAAGTAAGTGAGAACATGTTGACTAGACAAAAAGGGATGGTCAAAAGTTCAAGAGAAAATACTTACTGCCTTCCGGATCCTTTTTGAAACATGGAAAACAATATTCAGCTGATCATGGTGCAAGCAACAAATGATCTTGATCTATATAATAAAAAATGGCGATCAGATACAGTACAGATAATGCACAATAAAGATTTAAAAAGGCAGTTTCATTTCCATACCAGCAATTCAAGTGGAAGTGATTCAAGTCTTGAATGACCATCAGATAATTCATCTGACTGAGGAGTCTTTGGAGTTATTGGCATTACCTGCCCCTTAGTTCCACTAAATGGCTCAAAGTTGAGCCTTTTAGGCGACATCATAGGTTCAGTGTTTTCGAATGCAACCTCCTCCTGCGGTAACTCATCCTTATCCACATTCAACAGAATCCTTTTCTTTCCTATATCCCTGCTTGTGCTCCTGCTATAACGAATCTGGGCGAGAGCACCAGGTTTCAAGTACTTGTTCTTAGTGTGCTTTACTCGCTTCTTTTGTTTCACGGTAACTGATCCAGTACCCATGATGTCTGCTATCCACGAGAAAATAACAAGCTTTGGTTCTTATCCAATTTCACAGTAGATGTTGTGAAGCTTTGATTCCTATCCAATTTCGCAGTAGATGTTGTGAAGCTTTGATTCTTATCGAATTTCATCTCCCTGAATCAATCAGTAGAAAAAAAGAACACTTAACACGGATAACTTGTCTTAAGGAAATAATATAAATTCAGGCAGAGCCTTCTCTATAGCAAGATTCATTCTTTGTAAGAGGAACAAAATATAAAGCAAAAAAAATGGCCTATTGTAGCCAAACTAGCAAGATTGGGTCAGGAATCAGGACAGTTCTCTTAGCTAAATAGAGGTGGAAGAAAGGTAAGGGGGGAGCTTTGCTCTTTACAAAATCAGAGAGTTTGGGTAAAATTCCATCTGAGAATTTACTAAACTGGAAAACACTGAAAAAGAGGACAAATGCTCTGTGTATATACACTATATTTAACAAAGAAAGCAGTCCCTTTTCATATTACAAGCACTTCGAATGTTTTCCTTAAGTAGTGGCTGGTGGCACATCTCACATTCTTGAAGAAATTGGCAGGATTAAATAACATAGTTATACAAAGCATGGTATCAATCAAGTTCATACTGATGATTCATCAGATCCATTCAAAGACATCTGGACATTTGTGTAGTTTAATGTACCACGGTACCAGATTAGGGGATAAATTAAATGCATGGTACCTGAATGAACCAGAGCAGAACATCAGTGCCAAAAATTCGAATCTGAACAGTACAGATCATTCACACTTGAAGCTTAACGGGACATCTTGACAAAAAAACTGAACATTTTATTTAGCGCGTGAACATTGAAGGCAGTCATATTTATGCCAAGAGTTTAAGGAGCAAATCATTCAGTATTACTAGGGATGTAGCAATAAAACGCTTTGCTTAATGAACAGCATCAGATAACAGTTGAAGCGAATCCTCAAGATCACAATAATCATTATCATCGATTAAATGCATGGCTCCCTAAGTAATCCTGGAAAAGGCTCCAATTTATTGTTGAACAATAATAGACCACCCAATTACATGAAGTATAACAGATCAAGTAATTAACAGCATAAAGCAACCAAACGGATTGATTCCAGGGGAGGAATTGCATGCAACGAACACCAATCCTCCCAATCTGCCGAAATGTACTACAGCAAAATAGGGTCTAACAATATTTGCTTTCTACTGTGCAAATTTATCCCCATTCTACAGTAAATGCCACAGATTCAGGAAGAACACGCATATGCATCCCACGCATCAGGAAAATCGCCTGTAGCAAGAACCCAAGACGTCCACTCCTAAATCGCACGCCACCGGCCTATCCATCTATCCATCCCCCACAAAACAAGCTCACCAACAAGAATCTTCTCCCAGCCGCGGAGAGCAACCCAACGAACAACCGATAGCGCGAGAAGGAGAAATCAACCGAGGAAAGAACAGCATCTCTTTGAAGGTGAGGCGGGATTTACCGGAGGGCAACGCGCGGCGCAGCTCAGGAGCCAGCAGCTCCCATCCTATGCTCGCTCTAGATCCAAACCCCCAACAGCACAACTCCCTCCTCCTCCCCGCGGTAACCGCCGCAACCGAGCACCCACGACGCCACAAATCTCTCTCCCCTCCCCTCTTTCTCTCTCTCACGCAGATGGAATAGCAGAGTGGGCTGGTTGAGGAGGTAGTGGGGGAAGAGAGAGAGAGTATCGAGGAGATGGTTTTGTACTGGGATGAGAGAGAGGGGGAAAGAGGAGGGAAACCGAAAATTTTTCGCGGGGTTTTGGCGCCAAACTCACTCTCGTCTCGCCTCGGGGCCATCGGCGCGCGGGCGTGGTGGGCCCCACCGGGAAGAGCCAGGATTCATTGCTGGCCCCACCTCTCGCGTTCCCCCCCCCCAAACTTCCGAGACGGGCGGGCCCACCTGCAGTGGGGCCCAGCAGCAGCAGCGCCCTCGTTGCGCGGGCGCGGCCGTACGTGCGGAAGGATCTGACGGCGGGCGACGGCGCAGTCACCGGGGGGATGTGGCTGACAGGTGGGGTCCGCTGGCTAGCGCCGTGCGCGTCGGCTGGACGGACTCGTCGTGTCGCTTTTTCAGGTGGTGGTGTTGGTGGTAGTGGGCGCGTGCAGTACTAGTACGCGTGTTCGTGGTTGGTGAGTTTTGGTGGGCGCGGTGGTGACGGTCTCTGGCTCTCGGCTTGGCGGTGTGTGTGCGCCGCTCCCGACCCGAGCCGCGAGCGCGAGATTGTGGTGGTGGTGGGGGGCGTTGCGGCGTGCCGGCGAAGCGGAAACCGCGGAGACAGGCGCGGCGCGCGGTTGGGTGGTGGTGGTGGCCCGTAGTAGGCCGTAGGCGTAGACGGCGGGTGGACGGGTGGTGGATGAGTACGTGCGGCTTTTCCGGGGGTTTTTCCTCGGCGCGCGGTTGCGTTTGTGTCGGTGAGGGGAGGAAATCCCGCGTGTGCCGTGTGCGCGGTGCGCGTGAGAGAGAGGTTGGCGATTCTTGCGTGCGGCGTCTGGGGTGTTGGAAGGAAGAATTCCCCGTGCGCCGTCGGGACGCGGGAGTCGGGACGGGCGGCCGTCCGCTCTAAGAGCAAGGCGCCAATAATATAGCCAACTACTGTCTCCAAAATATTTATAGCCAATCTAATAGCCCATTCATATAATAGTTAACTATAAAAATATACTACATCATTAATATCTGATCCCACCTCTCATACACACATAATATCTTAGAGTCTGTGTTGCAGCCGGCTATAAATCTGTAGTCCGCTTTCTTCTCTCTCTTCTCTTTTCTCCTCGATATATGGTTATAGCCGGCTTATAGCCTGCTATTGTACCTGCTCTAATCTGCACCGCAGCATCCCTTCAACCAAGACTATGTGGTCTTTTGTTGCTAGCCCATTGGGCATTGGCAGATGGCAATGTACTACTCCCTCCAGTTTCATTTTAATTGATATTTTGGATAATAACACGGTCTACGAAATATACCTTTGATCTTATTTTTCTATTGTAATATACACAATAAATAAATGCATGTTAACTTTTATTATAGTGTTTTGAAAGACAAATTTATATATCTTGTTCTAGTTTTTTTAAACTAAATACTTTACTTTTGAAGTTATTAATAGTCAAAATTATAAAAGTTTGATCTTAACCTTGTCTAAAACGTCAATTATTATAGAACGGTTGCTAGCTTTTCTTTTCCTGGCCTTGCGTGTCAGCGGTCGGCAGTCGGCACGATTGAGAATTTGCTCGCTCATTATCTGGAAAAGTCTAAATCTAAACCCACCGGAGTTAACTATAGGGGTACTATTAAGGGAAAGAAAAATTGAGCAGAGTTAGCTCCTGTTTTTTTCAGTTTAAGATTATTATAATCTAGATTATTAAGTCAGATTACTATAAGCTAGATTGTTATAATCTATTCTCTCTGTTTTACAATATAAGTTATTCTAGCATTTTCCACATTCATATTGATGTTAATAAATCTAGACATATATATCTAGCTAGATTCATTAACATCAATATGAATGTAGGAAATGCTAGAATGACTTACATTGTGAAACGGAGGAAGTACAGTAGAATAAGCGGTTAGTTGTTTCTTTCCTAAATTATTAAAGCCTAGATTGTTGGGTTTGCAAGTCTAAAGAGGGAGTGGGGTGGCATGGTGGGTAATTTTTCACCCAATAATCTGAAAAAAGCTCACCTAAATAAGCTTATCAGATTATAATAAGCTAGACTCCAGATTATAATAAACTACTTCAATAAATTATTTGTTTCTTTCAGCTTACTCCCAATAATCTGGATTATAATAATCCCAAGCTGAAAGAAACAGAGCCTTAGGCCATGTTTAAATCCCACCTCAAAAGTTTACATCATGTCACATCGAACGTTTAAACACCTATATGAATTATTAAATATAGGCTAAAAGAATAACTAGCTGCACAGATTGCGACTAATTTGCGAGCTGAATCTTTTAAGGCTAATTGCTCCATGATTTGACAATGTGGTGCTACAATAAACATTTGCTAATGATTAATTAATTAGGCTTCATAAATTCGTCTCACGGTTTAGTGACGGATTCTGTAATTAGTTTTTTTATTAGTGTCTGAACACTTCATGTGACACCCTATATAATATCTGATGTAACACGCTAAAACTTTACACCCCTGAATCTAAACACCCCCTTATTTCCATTCTCAAAGCTAGTCTGAGCAAGGCAGAGCGTAGGATGTCGAATCGAATTCCTATAATGATTTTTTTTTACTTGGCCTGTTTAGTTCGCGAAATGAAATTTTTTGTGTCACATTGGATGTTTGACCAAATGTCGGAAGGGGTTTTCGAACACAAATGAAAAAACTAATTTCATAACTCGCATGGAAACCGCGAGACGAATCTTTTGAACCTAATTAATCCGTCATTAGCACATGTAGGTACTGTAGCAGTTATGGCTAATCATGGACTAATTAGGCTCAAAAGATTCGTCTCGCGATTTCCCCCGTAACTGTGTAATTAGTTTTTCTTTTAATCTATATTTAATGTTCTATGCATGCGTTCAAAGATTCGATATGATGTTTTTGGGAAAAACTTTTGGGGAACTAAATGGGGCCTTACAATGTGTCTTGTGCTATACATTCTCTTTCTCTCATGAAAGCTTTTACTTTTTATGTTTCTCTGTTTTTATTTAGAGAAAATCCCCTGTGTATCCCTGAAAGTTCACCTAATCCCTTATGTACCCCTGAATTTTGCTCAATCCCTTACTGTAACGCCCCGGTTTTCGTTCGGGAATAAAAATCATTTAATAATGCATTTTCTATAAATTAAATAAAAATTTAATCAATTTAATTTGGTGAAATTATGGAGGAAATTAAAATTTCCTTTAAAAATCATTGGCCGGGAATATTTTGTAATATTCTTTGTGCCCTAATATACTCTCCGGATTTTTCCGTGAATTTTCAGAGCTCAAGAAATAATTATAACAATACAAAGTTCATATAATCAAATAAAATAAAAAGAAAACAAATAAAATCTCCCTCCATCCCCCTTGGGCCATTTTCGACCCAAGTCCCTTTCCCCCTCCTGCGGCCCGCGCCCCCTCTCTCCCACTCTCGTGTCATAGGCCCATCTCCCTCAAGTTTGCTTTTCCTCCCCCTTCCAACTGTCTCGCTCCCCCTCCCCGACAGGTGGGTCCCGTGGGCCCCACCTGTCATCCCCAACCTTCGGCCTCCCTGGCCGGCAACCGCCCATGCCGCCACTGCCGCCCCACGTCGCGGCATTTTCTCGCGTGCCCGTCCCGCTCCCGCGCGCGTGTGCGACGTGGTCGTTGCCCACCTTCTTCCCCACCATTTCCCCCACTCAGCCCACAAAAACCGACGCCGGCCGAGCCGCCACCACCCCACGTCGGCGTCCCGCTTCCATCGGCCAATCCCACCTCTCCCGGCCACGATTTCAACCTCCCGAGCTCTATAAAACGATCCCCGCACCTCCTTCTCTCTTTTCCCCTCTCTCCCGAGCCCTCCCGTGCCCGGAAACCACCGCGACACCGCCGCACCCCATCGCCGCCGCTCGCCGGCAACCTTCGGCCGCCCGCCACTGCCGCCCTAGTGGTCGCCGCACCGCGTAGCCACCGCCGCAGGCTCCACCGCACGGTGCCGCACCTTGGCCCCGCTCCGTTTCCCCATTCCATCGCCGGAACCACCTCCCCACCGCGCTCCCTCTCTCCACCACTCACCGACGAGCTTGGCCGCCGCTCCTCGCCGCTCCAGCCACCGCCGCGCCATGCCGCCGCCACCGCCGGCATCGCCCCGCCGAGCTCCATCCCAGCCTCCGCTCCATTTTCCCCCTCCACCACTGGAACCGCCATTGCACCACCACACCCAAGCCGCTTCAACTCCTCAGCCACCAGCCGGTCGCCGCTGGCATTCGGAGCCACGTTCGGCCGCGCCGACGCCCCCTCTGTCTCCGTGGTGTTGAGCTGCGCGTTGGCCACCCCTCCGTCTTCGCGAATCACCGCCGAAAATCCCTCCCCTCTGCTCAAGGTGAGTTCGGCCTTTCCCGTCGGGTTCCGGCCGCCTTTTGCCGTCGTTCCGCGCCATCTCCCTCACTCCAGCTCCCTTCTATACCTTCCCCAGGTCCTGCCGGTTCTTGGCCGCGCCGCGGTCTTCGCCGGGAATCACCGGAGTGCCATCCCACCGTCATCCCGAGGCGCCCACCGTCGCCTTGCTCGCCGCCGGCCGCCTCCTTCCACTGTTTGACCTATCGGTGAGCACTCCCCTCCCTCTCCCTCTTCCTCCCCTTCGCCGGCAGCCTCCCGGGCCTGCCCGTGACGCGCCGCCGCCGCCGGTGGCCGTCCGACCGGGTCGCCGCCGCCGCGCTCCGCGCCGTGCCACTGCCAGCAATGTCGGGCAGCCGGCTGCCGCCTTACCTTGCCGCGTCGCGCCGCCGCTCCCTAGCGTGCGCCGTCGCCGCCCGCATGCGCCGCCGCTCCCCGCGCCGTCGCCGGCCGTCGTCGCCGGTGGCCGCGTTGCCGCGCGCCGTCGCTCGGTCGGGCCAGTCTAAGCCGTGCCTGTGTCCCGGCTACGCCGCCTCGTGGCCGCCCGATCGGCTAGGGCCGATCCGGGGCATCGGTTCCAGTGGACCACCTCGGTGGTCCCGGTCCACGGTGGTCTGGTGCCCTTGTGCCGCTGACCGGTGGGGCCTGCTTGCCGGCGCCACCCCTCCCCCTTGA